ACCAGTTAACTTTAACTAGTGCATATCTATGTCTCGAGCCTTCCGTAAATTGAATGTAGCTCAATGGGAAAATGTTGAAGAGAGATCGGTGGCATCTCATTGTGTACAAGAATGTTTTCTATACTTGACTATTTTATTTGCAGAAAAATTGGCGATTGAGTTATGAGACTAAGTTTTCCAGAAACCCTTTGCTCTGTAATTTTGTTAGAATTGGCTTTCACCTCTCATGTCATAGAAAAACTCTTTCAATTAGCTAAATCACTGTTGAAAATCGTTCTTCATTATTGAGATCGAGGGAAAACAATGGGAAGCGAGAGCTGGTCGGATAATTTTGGTGCTCAACATATATGTGATGAATTTTAGGTAGACATCTGGTTATGCTAACAAACTGTGACGCGGGGCTCCCATTGTTTCGAGAGTATGCTCTAAAATCCGTGTGGTTACCAATCATTGCATTTCGAAATGAGGATGATGAAAAAAAGTTCGAGTTTGATTATTCAACAGTATGTGTGTAGGATAATTTCTTGACATTAACAATAGGTGATCTTTCATCTTGTAGTGGTCTATACTCAAATCGAAATTACCTACACAAGTAAACATATTAACCATGGAACCGTTAACACAAAATAAAGATGTTGTCAGTGTTTTATTTCGCCTTGAACATTATTATGGTGAGAATGAAAATGCAAAATTATCAGCATCTGTTAATGTGAATTTACGGGTAAGATAAAACGACAATAATATGCTTGTTATGACATTGCTCATAAATTTTAGACATTATTTTCTGGAAAACGAGTATTAGAAGCAAAAGAAATGTCATTAGGAGGAAATCTGATGAAAAATGAAACATTTGGACGATTAAAATGGAATGAACGAGAAAGTAATGTCACACATGAAAAAGAATCAGAACTATTTGATGAAGTTAGAATGATTGTCCATTTAAAACCAATGGAAATACGAACATTTGTGCTGAAACTATCTAATAATTAATTCTCTAAATACTCTAAATCCAATCATTGATTCTGAACACCTTACACGTGTTCTATTAATAAATACTATCCATTTCAGAATTAAATGGTCCCGACGATTTTTGAATAACTTTTTAACGGAAAGAGCTAGGACCATGCGCTTTTCAGTATTTATATGTAGAGTTACTGGGAAAGAAAGCTATGAAAAAAGGATCTCCTGATTAGATCTATCATGGTGTACCTCGTCCAACAAAATTTGAGAGCTTCCCGTATTAAGAAAAGTTTATAACTCACTCAAAACCGAACTAAACTACACCTGAATTTAAACACATACTCCATTTTGTCTGTTAAACCTGTTTCTGTAGCTAAGCTTAATAAAAATCGTTCTCTTATCTCCAAAGATTTCTAGAAATCCTTTTCAAAAGCCAAATACTTTCTATTGCTTTTTAAAACTTTCGTTGGAATCCAGGATATACGGCAAACGTAATGGAGTATGTGTGGAAATTCTGGTGTAGTTTGGTTTGATTCTGAGTGAGTTATAAACTTTATTTTTCGGCGAAAATAGTCACAAATGAGTTCACTTACCATGAGTTTCCACCAGCTTCTTCAATTTTGTTCTGAAAACAAACATTGTCACAAGGTTCGGCTCGGCGCGACCGAAAAATTATGTTTGGAGTTGTTTTTAATCTTATCACAGCTACATATGCATTATAAAATACAAAAAAACCAACAACTACAATAGTCACCTTATTTACAAATAACCAGACTGAGATAGGCAGATCCTAGTAAAGCTTATACTATCCATCCGAGAATCTAGCGACTTCGGATTTGTGTGGTTTTAAAGAGGGCAGTCTATAGGTTCGAATCAACATCTCAGAATTCAAAATCCATTTGTTTTCTTGAAACGGAAAGCTCTCAAATTTTGTTGGATGAGGTACACCATGATAGATCTGATCGGGAGATCCTTTTTTCATAGCTTTCTTTCTCAGTAGCTTTATATTTAAATACTGAAAAGCGCATGGTTCTAGCTCTTTCCATTAAAAAGTTATTAAAAAAATACCGGGACCATTTCATCCTGAAATCGATATTAGTATTAGCATTTTTAATATTTTTTTGAATTACGGTGACATGTATGTAGCGAATAGTATGTATATATGTGTATTTTCGAATTGTTCTACATGATAATTTGTTTTTATTTCTGTTGTTAAATGTGTTTTTTGATTGTTATTAATAAAAAATGAAGGAAAAACATGATAAACACACTCGAATTACATATAAAAAGCCCTAAACAATATCTATTATTTGATAAGTGTATGTCTCTACTCTCATATTCTTCATGCAAACTAAAATCACACCCTGATAGCTCGAACAATCATATTAAAGTTGACATTTTCATCCAAGGGCAGTATATTGTTTTGTAAAATTTATGTAGCTTCTCAACTCTGATACAATCCATATTTTAAGTAAGTATGTCAGTTGAGCAATCAGAATTTCTTCAAAAATATTTGTTTTTCAACTGATACAATTTTTTCTCAAAATAAAGCACATTAAGTTACAAAGTGACACATGGATTGAATCGTGCAATTGTAAAAAAAAGTGTAATATACTAAGGTCTTTATTGTACTAATAATATATTATGGCTTGTTTATGATTATATTCGTTAACACAGACTACTCGGATATTTTTGAGTTTTTCAGTATTGAGTAACTCATACAACAACGTAACCTCAACCAGTGCACTAACAGTTTGGTCGATTATTTAATCAAATACTAATAATTGTTAGCAAATTAATTTCCCAGTATCGAATACCGCTGTAAATAAATATACCTATATGAAAATTAAATATGAAATATTAAGACATACATAACAATGCGTCCGGCGCTTTGGCAACATTTTGATGTATAAAATCAATTCAATAGTGTCCAGTTCAATAATGTCATCATCTCAGTCGAGATATGTGTTCTCCTTATAGATTCTATGAGCCACATAATTAAAAAGTTATAGATTTCTAATAAAAATGATAGTTCACTTTGAACAAAGAAGACATTCATGTGATTTACAACATATAAGCATTATTAATTCGTTTATACCCAATGATCGTTTAAACGATCATCACTTTTGAGGTTTACATTTAGTTCATTCATAACATCACTATAAACCACATCGCTTGTTGCTACAAGAAGAAACAAACTTGCCAATGGGATCAATCTATCTTGAGGTTTACTTTATATAGATCGTCAAGACGCCCTCACAAAGTTCTAACACGAAATTTATTTTTGTTCATTAAAGGTATTCAATGATCTTGTTTAATTGTATAATTGCAGAGATATATTAAAGACACAAACACATCTTACACTAATAAACTGTCCGCTGCTATCGTAACACGACGTTCAAATGTACAAAAAAACATCAGAAATTAAATTATATACTTTTTAATAGTTTTAATTACTATGTCATTAGATAACTTTATAACGACCACGATTGACCAATTGCATGGCTGGATTTTGCTAAAAATACACAAAAATTGTTCGTTAGATTTTATAGTATAAAACTTATCATATATACTACATACCATTTTCATCATTTCTTCTTTGATTAATCGAGCTATTTCAGTTTTGGCTAATTGTAAGCCACGTTCTGTTAATGATTCTAGTGCCAAATATAACTTCCTATCGCCTGGAATAGGATCTTTTCCATTTGGATAATATTGTCCACGTACTGTCATGCCAACATCAGCATATTCTGAGACATGAGCACAAGTTTCCTAAACACAAGTTACATAACGTCATTTTACTTGTTATTCAACATATACACTCCACACTTACTTTTGATGTTACTTTCCATCTTGCATTTTGTGGAAAATCATTGATTTCTAATTCTTCTTCAAATACTTTGAATGCATCTTCTTTTACCAGTTCTTCTGTTTCCGGTTTCTGATAGTTCAAACGTATATTTAACTGTCCGGCAATTTGCTCGGCCACAACACGACTCTATAAAGAAAAAAAAAAATAATCATTATTGTTCGGATAACAAAAACAGAAAAGTTAGGCAATGTTTACCGAAAATGATTGATTCAATGTACCACCTTGAAATAACGACGTTGTTGCTAGTTGAACAGTATCGCGTGATTCCGATTTATTAAAATTAATACTGAAAACAAAAAACTAAGAAATTAACAATAGATAGTTTCTGACTAAGACATACCGGGATGCATATTTTTTTGCTAATTCTAATTTGGCTGCTGCTTCAGCGGCAGTTGTCACTGCAGGAGTTGCGGTCGTCGATGCTGTACCTGACGCGGTGGTGGATGCAGGCGAGCTCGAACCCGCTCCAGCTCCTGTGCCAGGTTGTGTGACAGGGATTTCTGTTTTATCTTTTATACGACGTTTACTTTTGAATAATGAATCAATTTGTTGATCAATCTTAAACAAAAAAAGAAACGATAATGTATAACTATATGTTGATCGCTTCTGACAACTTACATCTACGCTTTCCTCTTCTTCATCTGAATCATGTATGCCCATCATCACTATTTGTACTTTTCGTCTTTCATCTGTCATTTGTTCTTCAGATGAATCAAATTTATATCCTTTACCACTAAATCCTCCGCCACTTTTCACTTTTTTACCTATCTGGAAAAGAAACACAGAAGAGATTGTCATAAGTAAAAATAAATGAGTCTTCTCTCCACTAACCGCTTCCATTTTTGCTATATAACCCTCCCAGAGTAGTTTTAATGCTTCAGGAACCTCGGTATTAGATAACTCGAGCGCACGAACAATATCACCAGCATAACGTTCTTGTTCCGGTGTTATAAATGTAAACGCATAACCTTAATTGATAGAAAACGTTTATCATGTTTTGTGTAACAAAATGAAATAATACTAACCTTTATTTCCTGCGCGTCCCGTTCTTCCACATCGATGAACATAATCTTCATAATGATTTGGACAATCATAATTTACAACTAATATTAAATCTTTCACATCTAAACCACGTGCTGCTACACTTGTCGCAATCATCAAACGTATATCACCACTTTTAAAATCCACCATAGTACTATCACGATCATATTGATCAATCCCCCCATGTAATGACATACAAGGGTATGAATTTTTTAATAAATTTTTCATTAATTCATCCGCATGTTCTTGTTTGTCAACAAATACAATAACACTCCCCTGTTCTTGATAGATACCCAATAATTCCAGTAATTTTAAATATTTTTCATCATCTTCTAACATTTCCTTTAAAAACAAAACTTCGAATTATAGAGACTGTCCATGAAAAAGTAAGTGTCGTAACATACCACATGTTGTTCAACATCTTTGCAGACTACACTACGACCACCCACAGCAACTTCAATCGGTTTATTCAACGCTTTTCGTGCTAATGCTTCCATTTGTTTTGGAAATGTAGCAGAAAACATCACTGTTTGCCTATCCGGACGAATATTATCAAGAATTTTGTTGACCTAAATGTTTTTATTATGTCACTAGTTTCGTGCTTTAAGGGAGAAGATCATAGTTAAGGCTATTGCGCAAGCATTCAAGCTTATGGTGCAAGAATATTCCAGGTTATTGCGTAGAGTATAATCAAGATTATTGCGCAATATTGCATGTATAAACAGATCGGTTTTTATTGTTAAGAATAACTTTTTTGTTTGTAAATAAACGGTGGTCATACACAACAGAAAAGACGGATCCTAACAAGTTTCCCGACTAGTGCACCACTTGTTAGGATCCGTCTTTTCTGTTGTGTATGACCACCGTTTATTTACAAACAAAAAAGTTATTCTTAACAATAAAAACCGATCTGTTTATACATGCAATATTGCGCAATAATCTTGACTATACTCTACGCAATAGTCTTAACTATGATCTTCTTCCTTATGGCACGACTCTAGTGCATGACATAACAGTTTCTACCCAATATTATCTTCTATAGTAACTTTTAGTAGTTTTCGTTCACATACCTGAGGTTCAAAACCCAAGTCAAACATTCGATCAGCTTCGTCCAAAACAACATAGGTAACACGTCTTAAATTTGTCACTTTACCTTTAATTAAGAAAGATCGAGCAAGTGATGATAGAAGAAGAACAAGCCTCATTTTACATACCGCCATTTGCTGCTAACATATCAATCATTCTTCCTGGTGTACATACAATGATTTCAGCACCACGTTTTAATTCGGCAATTTGCTCTGAAATTCCAGTGCCACCATAAACGGCAACGCAACGTATATCAAGCAGTTTAGAAAATTTTTTACATTCTTTTGTTGTTTGTAGCGATAGTTCACGAGTAGGAGTCATTATGATTGCTGTGAAATAATAAAAAACCGTTAAACTGCTCAATTATCTTTCTTCTTTAACATACCTATGGGTCCGTCATCTGGATCTAGTGGTGGTTGTGCTTTAATATGACGAAATATTGGTAGTAAAAATGCTAGTGTTTTTCCACTACCGGTTTTAGCTATGCCAATCATATCCCGTCCAGAAAATATAACTGGTAATGCTTGAGCTTGAATTGGTGTTGGTTTTTCGTACTCAAATCTTGAATAAAAACAAATGTTATGTACAATCAAAACTACAAAATAATCATTCATTCATTTACTCACTTTTTTAGAGTACTTAAAATTTTATTCGATGTTATACATTGTGACCAAGTTTTAATTGGTTTCGGACATCTTTTACCCGTTACTTTAATACCATCCAATTCTTCACGATAGGCTGCCACCTCTAAATACAATAATTATCGTGTATACAAACTTTTTAGTTATACAGTAACAATAGTGAAAATGTTCTTATTTGGCAATCATAGCTGATCTCTTAGCAGTTATCATTAATTTATTGATACATACAATATATTCTTATTTTTACTTATTTATATGTATTTTACTATTCATTATTTTACTTGAAAAAGATCGTACCTTCATTTGTCATTCGTGTAATTTCTGGTACTTCCGTATAGAAATCTTTTCGATATGGACGATAATAGATTTTTGAATGATCTGTAATGATCATATCCTAAAATGAAACATTAATCAAATTAAACTTAGATATAAAGTTATTGTTTGTCGGGTCAATGAATACGTACTGCTTTAGATTTTTTAGTCGTCATCATATCATCAAATTCATCCGGTTTTTCGTCCTCCGACGAATACTCCAGACCATCAATATCTTGTTCCATAATCAATCCTTTATCTTTACCATGTTTAGCTATACCACTTTTCAACGTTACTTTTGATATCGAGAGTGGTTTTTGTTCGTATTCGGTTTTCACTATAGAAGAAAATCCATTTGTTGACGGTGACGATGATTCTTCCTCTGGTTCGACTTTTATTACAATTTCATCGTTCTTTAGAAGAAAAATAAAAGACAATGTAACTCGATCTAGTAAATATTTTATGTATATTTACTTGTTTCACTTTTTTCTTAATAACAGTAACCACGGATGTTGTTGTATTCAATGGTTTAACATGTTTCACAACTGTTTCCTCTTCTTTCTTTATGTTTGTTCCAGCGGGAACTAATGGTGGTAACATACGATAAGTCTTTTTACGCAATGTTTTTACTTCTGATGATATATTTTCCATAAATTTATCTAATGGATCATCTTCGTCGTCTTCGACATTTGTTGGTAATGTAGTAACGGATGCTTGTTGAGCAGCAAAAGCAGCATCTTCTTTTGCCTTTTGTTTGCCACTTTGTGTGGCTATGATACTTTCTCGTGCTGCAGCTATTTCACGTTTTAAATCAGAAGAAAAATTTTTACTAGTATTTTGTAATTCATCATCATCCGCATCATCTTCTAACGACCAAGCTTTGCCCTAGAATGTAAACATCAACATTTTCAATGAAAATTACTAAAACAGAGCACTAATAAGATTTATATATACATACCGTTATTTGTACAGGTGTTTGTGGGTCTCTGCTTGATTCAATTGCTCGTTTTCTCTCTGCACGCCACTTTTCGACACGTTCTTTTCGTTTTTGCATTTCATCTTCGAGACGTTTTTGTTCAGCTTCCTAAACAAATAAAAACAAGAGAGTAAAAATAGGTGATAGTACAAGCCGTAGGTATCATACCTTATCAATTGGTCCGCTGGTAGGCAATTGTAAACTTGGGCCTACTATCGGTGTTGTAGAGACTTTTTTGTCTTTTGAAGTTGGTGTTTCTCCTGAACGTGACTTTGATCGTGAACGATGTGAACGACTTGCTTTTGCCGAAGAATTTTTTGAATGTCTAAATAGATATTAATATTGAGAACAGACAAAGAAATCAAATTATTAACATACTTTTTCGATGATTCATGTCGTTTTTTGTCTTTACTTTCTTCTTTTCTCCGACGTTTTTTTTCACGACTACTACCATTTCGATGAGACGGTGAACTGCTTTTTGTCGATGTTGAACTTGATGATCGTTTCCTAGAAAACATATAAAAAAGAACAAATTATATTAGTCACAATTAAACGATAATACTAGAAAAAAAAACGCAATCCCCTATTCTATCAAGCGAAATGTACATCTTTTTTTATTATACAAAAAAATGTTCCCATAAAAAACGAATATACATAAGAAAAAAATGACTAGTATGCGACGAAGTAGGACGAGTCAGTTCATATTTTGAATTGCGAATAACCTAAAATGAGAAAGAGAGAAATCAAAAACAATATTTACATATATAAGAAAATAACCGGCAAAGACTTTGAAGGATTCCATTTCTCTACAATTCGTCAGCGAAATGAAAACACAAAGACTTTGATTTGGATAAATGGAATATATTATAAAAGTAAATGTTTTTCTATCTTTAGGATGAAAAGAATGTAATGTTCGAAGAGAAAACAAAGTTCTTTATTATAATCTATTACACTGTAAGTTATAATCATTAGAAAATTTGAAACCCAGCTATGAACAAATCGTTCATTTCTAGTTCTCTGCTAGTATAATAGTGAGAACATATTTGTTTCATGCATACATACCCCCCTTGAGTTTTTTTCATTCAACGCTGTTATTTTTTGTATTTTTATCTAATTTTCTTTTTTTTATTACATTTGTTGTTGATGTTATTGTTGTCTCTTTTGTTGAAGTTATTGAAGGTGGTGGTGGTTGTATAACAGTAGGAGCAAATTTTGCCTGTTCTAACTTATCAACGAATTCTTTATTCTTTTCTACTATTTCTTCATGTTTCTTAATACACATAACGAGATTTTTTCCCGTTGTTTTTGACATGGGAATAATTAAATCACCACTCAGTTTATTTTGTGTTGTTGTATCATCGATTGTTAAACAATCCATATCATCGTCATTATCAGCATCGGATGCTGTTGATTGAATTTGATTATTAGTCTCTTGTTGTAGTTGTTCTAGTAAAATAGTTAAATGTTCTAGTATGTACGTAAGACCGTTTTCAGCAGCCATTTTCATTAAACCAATTTTATAATCAATTTTTTTCGTATGTTGTTGTTGTCTATAATGAAGAAAGAAATATAACTTAGTAACACAACGTACTCAGGAAGTTTATTGGCAGATATTTACTCCAATATCTCAATACTATGACAGACTCCTTAAATTTTTCCTTCAAGAGATACGAGAGAATGAATAGTTTGAACCAGGTATAAGATGGAAGAGATTGGAATCAAAAATCTTGGGACAAAAATACGATTAAAACAGAATATTTTTTGAATCGTTTTATTTGTTTAGCTGTCATCATCCTGATTTAATAGAGGAAATATTACTCTTAATAAATTGCTCATTTATGATATTACATTTTGATTTCTATGAAACTTACGTTGTTGAATCATGTTCACGTTGCAACCATTTCGTTATAATTCGATCTAGATGTATCCACAATTTTTGCTTATGTTGTTTATTCCATATTGTCCATAATTTAAATGAAAATTCTTGTGTTAATTCATGAGCTAATAGAGAACATACTAAACCATATGTTGGCTCTTTATTTTTTAATATGTCTAGAACATTATTTAGTGCAATTGTATTTCGATGTTTAATAAAATTTGGTGACTTTTCATAACGTTGATTTGTAGTTATTGATAATACTGAAAATTTTTGTAAATGTTCGATAATATTTGTAAACAATTGTTCATAGTCATTTTGAATGAAATCATGTGCCGATAATAAATCCCAAAAATATTGTTGCTCTTGAGATGTAAACAAAAGCGTCTGATCAATAAGCATATACAACTTGGATGCGTGAAATAATTGTAAACGTCGCGTTAAAATTTGATAGAGAAAATTTTTGTGTTCTGATTCATTGATTGTTTGAATAAATAAACGAATTAATTTGATATTATTATAAAGCTTTTTCGAATATAAACGAAAGACATAGGAGAAAATGAACAGAAATGTTTCCGTATCGTCTTGCTCACACAAAACAAGGGTTTCATATAAAAAATCGACAAAATTATTTGTATTTTCTTGTTCAATAGTTAATGGACGCATTGGCTGACGATTATTGTCGCTAAACAAGAAAAAAACATATAGGTTTGTAGTTAAAAGTTATTTATTTGCAAATCAGATATTATGAGAAAATGCTCTTTATCAAATTAAAAAGCTACAGTCAATCAAAATACAGTTAATGCATCGTCCTGATCGTAGAGTGAGAAGAGATCCTCCTCTTTCTCCCTTACAAAAGCTGATTGATGGTACTATAAAATATTACAGAAAGAAGAGGGACAAATACCTGCTATGGGACTATGGTTGCTGGTGCTGACGTTGCCAGTTTCACTAGCTCGATATCTTTTCTGCAGCTGACGAGTTTCTGACTTAAGAACCTGCATCATTACTAATCGTTGAATACAGCCAGCTCTGGTCATAAGGCTAGAAGACACGGCACAGAGTTCTATGACCCAATTGCTTACTATCCACGCACCAGCTCATTTCGCAGGGAAAACCACAAGGACTAACTGGAAAAACTGCGTTGCATATCATAACGTAGTAAGTATTATCATGGCTCAGGTAGTCCAAGGCAGTAAGACATGAATAACTTGCCAAAGATTATAACGAACGCGACGAAGTTGGGATATAGTATCTATATATTACGAGTCGAACGACATATCTAGGCATGCATCACAGAAAAACCTTAAACTAAGGAGAAGAAGAAAACATTTTTATCATAACTTCTTTCAGATCTTTTAGCACTGTTCAACACTAGACAATACTGATCTTACTCACTGCTTGCTTTAACTACAAATAGTTTTCGTCATATCAAAAATACAATGTCTGTAGTTTGTACAGTTCCTAGATATCTTCCATTTCTCACCGTGTCGTCAATGCATCTGCTTTTCTCTGATTACAATTCAGTTTAATAATATCATACGAAAATTTTTCATAGATTTTTGCCAAATCTTCTATTGGTTTTGCGTGTTGTTCAACAGCAAGATAATAAAGAAAATAATAGGCTATTTCTGATTGAAAATAGTACATTGCTTGTAATAAACGTATAAAATACTCTTGTTTTTGATCATCATTCGTTAATATTAATTGAAATAAAACATAGACAGGTGAAGTTTTCAATGTACGTTGCAATTTTTTGGGTGAATAGGTTAGATTATTTTCTTTACTTAAAACTGTTGCTGATGTTTGCAGCTGAGTTTTATTTGGTAGAAGACGATTGACGAAAAACGCTCGTAATAAATATAAACACATGAGACCATTCACAATAAGTTTCTCTTGGAATAAACTTAATAATTTTGTTTGAAATTTATCACTATATTTATCATATTTAATCATTGAATAAGATATCGAATTTTCTTGCTGTATTCCTCCATTATTCTTTTCTATGGTCCTCACGCCTAACTGAAACATTTTACCATCTGATGTCACAATCTCATTATACAATTGTTCAATGAGAGAACATTTCATTCGAATACTAGGTGCATGCAAATAAGTTGTAGCCAAATGAACACATTTTTCCGTGATAAATGTTAAACGAAATTGCTGAAATGGAAAGGTATCACGAGTTAAACTTATGGAGTATAATCCACGCTCATTTTCTATAGTTGATGAAGGATCAATAATCATGTCATCATTTGTATCATCATCGTCATCATATTCGTCGTTAGTTTTTGAAATTTTAGTATTACTATTGCTGCTGTCTTCATCTTCATCATCATCACTAAATCGACCGGCTGTGGGACTACGGACAGGTTGTAACATCATGACATCGTTATCTTCTTCATTCTTTTCATGCTCACTACGAGGTGGCATCATGGCATTTGGTGAAATATCATCATTCATCACAGATTCCTCATTAACTGGGATACCTTAAATACGAGGAGGACAAAGTTGTTATATAGAAAGTACTTTCTAGCTGAATTAACCTACCAGTCATACCACTTAACATAATTTGTTGAATTTGCTGTTGTTGTTGTTGTGGTAATACAAATAATGTCATTTGTAGTCGATGTGATAAATCTCTATCATTTGCAAAATACTGGAGTAATTGCTGAAATGAATTGAGCCAATGTTTATGTAAAAAATCATTAAATAAACGTTTAATATTCTGTTGTATATGATATTTTAAATTCGATATATAATTTTCAGATAAATGTAGAATAAACAATAGTATTGGTTTCGTGTAATGAGATCTAATGAGCAATTGATATCCAGGTTCTATAGAATTAAATAACAATTCATGTTCCAGTAACTGTTGCGATTGATCATAAAACAACCAATCATAATAAATGGCTAATTTACACTGAATGAGTTGTTCGTTAAGCGTTATTATTAAATGATTGCTCGTATTTGTACTGGATGTTGTACCTTAAAGACGAAGGAAAATATACTTCGAAGTGGATATAAAGAACTATTTCTATTAGTAGTTCAGATTGGAGCTAAAGGTTTGAAACTCTATATATATGTCTTCAAAACTAATTTTAGATAAATACGGTTAAAATAAATGCACGAATAAAATAATATAATCATATAAATTCGAGCATTTCTAACTCTGAATTTTGTTTCTATCTCTGTGAAAAATTAGCTAAAGAGTTCTACAAACATTCTGTGTCTTTGAAAGTCAATAATAGACCGGTTACCTTGTGTTACTCCAATTTGATTTGATGCCATTGCTGTAACTTGTACCGTGTTTAAATAAGCGGATAATTGTGTTAACATCCACCATATAAACTGCCATCTGGTCACAATTGTATTGATTTGATTTCGTTGTTGTTTATTGTATCGGCAAACAACGCACACGTACCGTATAATGTGTGAGCAAAGATAAATTGTTTCTGGCTGTTGTTTAAAATTTAAAAATTGTTGCTGAAACCATTCAAAATAATATTTTTCATAACCTTGACGACAATTTTCTAATAGAAAACGTAATTTTTTTTCTAAGTCAAAAGTTAATGGTAGTGCTAAAAATTTTGGTTCAGTTTGTTGTTGTAAAATCTTTTGTAAAAAATCAGGTGATTGTTGAGATGTTGTTGTAGATAAATGTTTCAAATATAAATCAATATCTTTTATATGGGAGATTTGAGCAAATAGACGAAAGAGATCCCGTCCAATGCAATCCCAACGTGATGATGAATGATCACGCAGAAGACTAAGAATGAAATCAATTTCACGTTGACGTAATTTAGAATGAAATTGTGAATGAGCAGGAATCACACATAGATAAGTATAAATTGTCAACAATAACATTTCAGGATAGGATTTTAAAAATAATGGATAGACTAACAACAATTCAATTAATTTTTCACATAATTCTAAAAATAAGAATATGAGAAATTTTTTAGTGATTTTTTTTTTATTTTCATTTTTCTATTTCGAATATCTACCTAAACATCGTTCTTGTCTTGATTCATATGGATTTATGTTTCTCAAATAAACGTAGTATAATCGATCAATCCCATCGATATTACTTGATATTGTTTCTTTTAGAAACCAGTACAATTGTTGACGAATATTATCATAAAATCGTTTCCAATTTTTACTTATTAATGTTTCAAGTGTGCCTATTATGTAAGAAAAATTTGTCCCATTTAATAATAGAAGATCATGAAAATGTTTTGAACATAGTACACCACCACCATTGCCACCTGTCGTTGTATCGGTCAAGATACCATAGAGTAAACCATGAGATATATCCATTTTGGATTTTTTATTTGTTTGAGATATTTGAAATAGTGTATTTGAATCAAGTGAAAAACGATTTTGAGAAGATGATAACTGTTGAATTGCTTGATAACATGCTTCTAATAAAGCGTCCGTTGGATCTTTAACATCAATTGGTGTATAGCGAATAATTTTTGATTCTTGTGGTTTCAATGGGCCTGAATTATTTGGACCACCACCCCCAATACCGGCCATAGCCTAAATTAAACAAATTCTTATTGTAAAAGCGTAAGTAAACTTAACAATAGTTGACCGCATAAATAAAACCTCATAAGTTCTAGCTTCAGCACCCACTGGAACGGATCAACTTTCTCTTTTTAAAATTTGTTTAATTAATTTTCTTCGAAAAAGAATAAAGGACTTTAGCTACGATTAGTAAAGTGAAGTATCTATGAACGGTACTAAGTTACTTCTCACAACAGACAATTTATACAAAAAATACGTACTATTTTTTGCTAATTGATTTGTAGATTGTTTGTGACAGTTCAATATTGGTCCAATTGCAGCATATAATTCGTGGATATAATAGACCTGAAATGTGAATTCCGCTTCTCATCCATGTTTTTAATAAAAACGAGTTTTCACACGGCGATTGTGTGAAACCCGTAAAAAACAAAAATAAAAACAATAAAAAAAATGACACTCAATATTTTACACAAAAAAAAAAGATGACTAAAACTATGTTAAGAAAACGCAACTTGGAAAGAAGTAGAGAGAGACTTTCTCACTTAGCTAGCAACCAAAGGATGAAAACAAAAACACACAATATCTCACCTTGTAGGCATGGCAGGAAATATGGACGAACGACGTATGCTGAAGTAGACTAAATTGAATTAACTAATCTGAAAATAAATATAATATAATAATATAAAAACTTATGCTATTATTTAGATAATACATTGGATCCTTTAAATTTCTCAAAAAAGCTTGTATTGTTTCTTTTTTAAAACTTATCATTGCATTTTTTACGCAACACACATGTAAGACTTGGACAAATGCAATAAATGAGACAACATGTCCTTCCTTTTCTCTTGTTAACAAAATAACTAATTACAAGTCAACTTTGTTATCATAAATAGTGGCGATACTGTCATTTACAAACATTTTCGTTGGTAGTCTCCTGTCTTTTAGACTTGATCAGTTGTTCCAAACTTATCAGTATCTTAGCCTTCTTCCCATTTTTTAACTTATTCATTGTCCTCACTAAACTTCTTGATGTCGTTATTTTAAACATGTTTGCGCAAGGAGTGCCACCTGAGGTGCCTTAATCAGTTCGTTTTTTAGCTTTATTGATGCTGATTGTTGCGCCTTAGGTGACAATCCTGGTTTGAATTTCACCCCTTGTTGATGGTCTTTCTCCTCATGCAGATCACTCCTCGTTTTTCCTATATATCTGTCAATGACTGGAATAAACTACCATAATCAGTAATTCGCTTCTTTCCTATAATCATTCAACAGAGCGCTATCAAATACGTTATCATTAAGACAAGTTATGCAACATTATCGATTATATTAGGCACAAACAGAGTTGAGCGCAAATAACGCAAAATTTCTGTCGTCCATTATAGACGGTTGTGCCTCTGTGGTGAATAAATACGATCAAGAAAATAAGAAGTGCTTAATGCACTTCTTCGTGCGAGTATCCGTTTTATACTATGTATATATGGATACTTTTAAATGGAAATAACAAAAAGACGGTGCATGCTAAAAAAAGGAAAAAAAGGAAAGAAAAAAAGGAAAGGAAAACGCCCATTAGATGATAAACTTTTAGTTACGGATGCACTTGAAAAGTATGAAATTCAAATAACTTTGAAAACCATCGTGATATTCAAGAAGTATATT